AGAATGATTAACTCAACATATCATAATACGTGCGAAGCAGATTGAGTTAGCTGTATTCCCCAAATATTGATTAACTAAGCAACTTAAATTATTTTGGACCAGATGGAGAAGTTAAGCACCGAAAATCGCCGCGTTCGAAACAAACTTTTGAACTTTTCTCGAATGCTGATTTCTACTAATGTGTTTTTATTTCACAAAAGCTCTGGAGCCTTAAATCCGGAAACACCAATCGTTCAGTTGTTCCGGTTCTGATTTTATATTCTGTACGTGACGCTTTTCGGGTCTCATCCAGTAAGGGGGCATGTGGTGCGAGATTTCATGCCCTTTGAAGTAATCCAATTTTTTTGCAGGGGAGGGAAGCGGGTGTGAAAGCTCGAGCTTATGCACCCCTGGGATTCCCTCCCCTTGAAAAAATCCTAATTCCAGTAGCCGGCAAGAACCGTCGACCACGTGCCCCCCTTACTGGATGAGACTCCGCATTTTTATTAAGGCGAGCAGAAGTTCTGTTCCTTCTTGTGGCTTTTGACTATACGAACTATTCTCGGCTGATTTCGCCAACCTTGATATTGTGTGGAAGTCCGCAGCCTTTCGCTAAATGAGTGCTTTCACAGTCGGTCGCCATCGTAACGGTATCAAAGCACTAGATACGTATCGATCGCCTGACCATTTGGCATGTTCTGGTGTAACAATCGGACGATCGATACATATCAAATGCTGTGCGATCGCTGCGATCGACGACCGACTATGAAAGCACCCATTTCGGTATATGAGACTTGCGCATTTGTTCCAGTATAAAGCCTAAGCAGGAAAGATTAATATTAAGCATATTGTATTCTCGTGCAACATCAATCATCTTTTGCTTTGCTTTCCACACTGTAGCTTATACATAAGTTTGCATATAAACTACTTGTAAAAATAGCGAAAATTCCTTGCTCAGACAACGATTTGCATTCTGGTCGTATATTAGTGGTGGTCTGCTTTTTCCAGAATTTTAGCATTTTAGCAATACTTGGAAACGTAAAAAACACTGTCTCGCTGCCACTTTTTTCTTTTTATCTTATTTATGTCCACGTTTTCAAAGGAATTGTTCAACTTCCTTTCACTTTTTTTTCTAGGCAATCTGGAATCTAAATATAGTATATAAAATGATATAATAAAAATAAATATTCATATATGTATTGCATTTTTATTGATACAAAATTTTGAATGTTCCCTCTTTGACGGGTGCCCTACGCCTGGAACGTTGTTTTTCTTTTGTTTTTCTTTTCTTCTGAGCCAAAGCTGTAACGTTTTGACTGTGATTGGTTTTACTTCATTTCATTCTTCGCGTCTTTTTATTCTTACTTTTTATAATTTTATCTTTTTATCTATATTATATCTTCCTTTGCCATTTATTTCGGTACATATGTGGAGCCGTTCTTTTTCCAAATTATTCCAACTATTGCACAGTTAGCATCGGAAGGCTTTTTGAGGTTTTCAATCGTTTTTGAACGTATTTAGTTGATTGCCCTATAGCCTTTTTTAGTCATTTTTTCAAGGACTTACAGTATTCCCACACAGTTTCTGCTCTTCAAATCAACTTTATTCACTTGTTATTTATTTATTTATTTATTTTCCCACGGAGACATAAAATCCTTCCTTTGGATGTAAGAAATGAATTTTTAAGATATCGGTACCAGTCCTTACTTATGTTTAGCGATTTTGAGTGTTGTGGAAATAGATTCCACTCTTTTATCTTTCTTGTGGTTAACCTAACTAAAACAAGCAGGCTTAAATGCGCATGTCAAGTCCTGTTCTAGCGTTTATAGTTTGCCGACTTTGTTGCGGTCCACGGACTTTATTTCTTGTAGCCGGGTGCGTAGTTATTGCAGAGTTTACAAGGGACGAATCTCAGGTAGAAATAGTCATATTTGATGAGACCTGTACCATGAGGTGTGCGTGGAACGCAGATCTAGAATTTGCGAATCAAATTGCGAATTCCGACCCTGCAAATCAATCCCCGCAACGGAATTGTGAAGGTTTCTCCCACGTGTTTCAACACACTGACGGACAGAATGACTCAATATTCTGGGTCATGCCTTCACGTTTACGTGCCTGCTTGAACTTTTCTGTCAAAAGTGTTCTCTGTCAAAAAGGCTAGAGCGCAGACAATTAGAGGACGGCGCTTGCCGGATATAAAGGTTGCCAACACGGGAGAGATACGTAACGAGTTGGGGTAGATGAAGGCAGTGTATGGGGTGAGGTTGCGTGAGCCACTTCTTCGTATGACAAAAGCCTGAGCGGAAGAAGTTTTAGTGATCATGAACCGCTATCAAGGTAGAGAAGGGCGGCTCACGCTTTCCGAAGGAACGAGCTCAAGTAAGTAGGTCGTAGACCTGCTATTTTCACGGATCACTTGAATTCTGGGCTTTTTCGTTTATATTTAATTTTGAGGGCGGAAGTGGTGTAGTGACAAGTGGCGCGCTCACCACGCGAGCGGTCCGGGATCAAATCCTGGGTCGTGAGTCGCCCGGGCCAACCAAGCCTTCCATCCCTCCGGGGTCGGTTAATTGGTACCAGACTTGTCTGGGAGGATAAAAACACTGACTTGTACATCGGCTGGCCCCCGCAAGTCATTGTATAGGCCACATCGCATTCAAACGCCACTACGAATGTACAAATGGAAGTAGAATGCGTGCCGCATCCCAAAAAGGGATTGATCAACGGCAAATGCTTTATCCTTTTTTATTTATTTAATATACTGTAGAGGATCCGAAATAAATGTACCGGTGACCAAGAGTGGAGTTATTGATGGGTAAATGGGTGTCAGTGATAGTGTTAGTGCCCAAAAATACATTTCACAATATACTTTGTACCGTACAGCCAGATGCGTGTACAACCAGTAATCGTGACAAACGGCATAGCGCACTTGGCTGCGGAATATGAACGGCATCGATCTTATTAAATATGGCCGCTTTGACCTGAGATCCATCCTTAGTTAGCAGCACACATGGAGTACACCTGGTATCGATTTTTTTAGCGGTTCTTACAATTGCGATTAAGTCTGCAGTTACGACATTCCCGGCGTGGGAAACGACGTATACGTATTCACAAACATCTGCCATAGAAAATCTATTGCAAGATAAGAGATACCATTGGGACGCTGTTGTTAGTTTAGACGTTGACTGGTGTCTTGGTATTCTCCCTTCTGTCGAATAAACTAACGAGGGCTGAATTCTGACATCTGCCTTGTTGTTCCCTTTGTTGCCACTTTTTTCATAGACGGATTGTTTGTTGTAGTTTGTCATTGTGAACGAGGAGAATTTGGTGCGTGTTCTCTGAACAGGTGAGCAGTTAAGTTTTTGTCAGTTATCAGTCGCTGATAGACAGCAGCAAGGCAGCGTTCCATCTCGAAAATGGAGCGAACCGTTAGTTTAGGCGTTGCGAAATCGTGATCGTATGCCCATTTTCTAATTCCCAATTGATCATTGTTTGTTGTGATCTCTAGTAATTAAATGATTACGGGCCTAAAGATTCATTTTGCTGGTAGTTCCAGACTTGATGTCCAGCCCGTCACGGCAAATCAAATGTGTGGTGGTTGGGGACGGTACTGTGGGAAAGACATGCATGCTTATTTCGTATACTACGGATTCATTTCCTGTGCAGTACGTGCCCACAGTGTAAGTGAAGTTTTGAATGTTTATTCAGGCGAAGTTATGAATGTCGTTATTACAGCTTTGACAACTATTCTGCTCAAATGACACTGGATAATCACACGGTCAATCTTGGATTATGGGATACAGCTGGACAGGCTAGTTATACATAATCAGATACGCTTAACACGCCTCTTCTTGACAATCAATAGGTTTCACATTACAAGCCAGCTGCATTTTGAATAAAACTACGACCACTTGCTGCGCACGATGTCACGTGCGTTACACTGTTCTGTGTCGTGGGTTACTTTTATGTAGACACCAAACTTCTGTTTCCAAGTTTGAACCTGGTGTTCAATGCAATTCCACATTTATGAGATTTTATTTCAAGCGGAGCAGTGTGTATTAAAGCTGTAAATAGCACTTGTCAAACTATTTTGCTTTTTTTGACATTAACAAAATAATCGCTAGCTGTTGTATAGAAAAAAAACGGCCCAGTCTGCATCAGTGGATATGCTTCATTCTTTTGAGGAAGCTTTCTAAGTCCTCAAGAAGTTTTTGGTTTGCACACTATTCGTTTCTTTTTCATTGCCGTAAACATATGAATAACAAGAGAATAGAAGTAAACACGAACCAAGATGAAAGACAGGACTTGGTTTACTGAAGCAATCGAGGCAAATTAAGTATTAGGTGTTTCAGAAAGTTCTGTCGTTTTCCAACCCCTAATTTTAAATGCACGTATCTCGGCTTGGGCTGAACCTTTCGAGTTGATTAAAAAACCATTCGAAAGCGCGAATCTTTTTCTATAAGAAACCGTTCAACAGGGTACGTTTATTTGGAATGCTGGACCTCTGGAGGCGATGAACTGAGGGAAGGTCGTTTTAGCATCATGTTGGGTTTTGATGTATTTCTCTTCAAGGAAGCTATCGAGATCGTCAGAAATTTGACAGTAGATAGATCAAAGGTCTACTAAGTAAGATGTTCGCAGAACCACTCTGAAGTTTAGCTGGTACAACTTGTGAAGGGTTGGCCGTGCGATGTGCGTTCAAGACACCTTTCAGGGATGTGTGCGTTCCTTTATAATGAGGAATGCTGGACCCGTGCCTTTGACTTCGTATGAGATTGATTCTCCACTGTAACAGTTCCATCTGATACTGAAGAACATGGCCAGCCGCTGGCCCCATGAAAGCTGCCACAACCCTCCTCCAGCACAGTTTAAATTCTGCAAAGTTTGTAGAGCTTCATCGCCGTCGATCTATTCAGCAAACTTTCGTAGACTATAGAGAAGAATCCGCTCTTTATTGTACGTCGCAAATCTGTAGAGAAACGAGTCGCTTTCACCACATAAAACCAGCGACAATTTGATGGACGATGCCCCTCAAATTGGTGATTTGTCGCCCTCAAATTTTTTGGACTTTCCAGCTTCTTCCGTATAGCTTGGCTGTACAAACCATATACGCCCAGGTTGGGCAGAACCTCCTCTATGGTCTTACGCACGAGTGCTTCAATCAGAACTTTTGGCTAATCGGAGACACCGTCCGATGTCCGACCACTACTCTCATCATATTCAAGGCTCTCGCCTTCCTTACAATAAATTTTTTTAACTA